TACGATAAAGTTAAACAGCAATGGAGAGAGAGGACAACCCCGACAAACACCACTTACTGCAGCGAACTCGGGCGAAAAAGTGCTGAATGCTCGGACACGGCTTCGGCTATTAGTATTAAGGGACTGTAATACTGAAATAAACTTCTCGGGCATACCCTTCAGAGAGAGGCAGCGCCAGAGTATGGAGCGGGAGACTGAGTCGAAAGCCACTTTCAGTTTAAGGAACTTACAAATGGTGGGTCTCAGAAAGGAGCGTTTGTGTTTCAGAATTTGGTGAAGAGTGAAGATGTGACCTATACAGCCTCGACCAAGTCTAAGACTAGGTTGGTTCTCAAGCGTGCAACAGACAACCGACGGAGAAGTCTAGACACGATGTTGAATAAAGCTAACTTCAGTGGTTTTCACAAGAGTATCTGTCGCCTTTCGTTTGCATTAGTATGATTACCGATCCACAGCATTAAGTTGGAATGTGTTGCTCTTCCCACACTGAGTCCAGGAGTTTAGTTAACTCCAAAACCAAGGTGGAAACTTCCTCATTTAAAACCGATGCTATACGCCTTCAAAGTGCAAAGTTATGCTGCACGACTGGGTTTCGCCTACTCCCGCTCTGAAACTAAATGACTAGGAATTAATTATAGTGAATTACTTTTCATACTTAGGTGGTTGCGTGACTAATAACGGTAGGGCAACAAAGGAGAGAACCTCCCGCATTTTCAAGGCCCGAGCAGCATACGGACTAAGAAACCTTTGGTGTAGACGCAACGTTTCACTAAAGTTGAAAGCTCGTGTTTATTGTGCTAGCGTTCGTTTAGTTCTGCTCTATGGTTGTGAGACCTTGAATTTGCGAACAGAAGAAATCTATCGACTAGAAGTTTTCGATTATCGGTGCTTACGTAATATAGCCCACGTGGGATGGCGCGAACGGGTTAGTAATCTGGAGTTAAGCCGCTGGATTTTTGGAAGTCTATCAGGTATAAACCTACTAGCCCATCAAATTCAGACTAGTAGACATCGCTAGCTAGGGCACATATTGCGTCTGTCCAGCTACCATGTACCACATCGCGCCTTATTCGCTGTAGTCGCTCGGGGTTGGAGGAAACTATGTGGAGGTTAACAGATGACATGGAGACGAAGCATGAAGAAGTGCATAAAGCCATTAGGTATAGATGTCATGCGCCTTCCAGGTTGGGGTCCGAAAGACCCTGCAACTGGGTGGTTGGAGACATTGAAGGATATCGCAGCAAACCGACAATAGTGGCGTTCTTGTTCTCATTTTTTATCAGGCCAGAGAATGCTTGAAACGGTTCAATTATGTACTCTGTGTTGACCATAGTGGTTCACCTTCTTCTTCCTCCCTCAAAGTAGGCCCAATCCCTGTCCACCTTAAATTTTACCACTAACCTTGTATGCATTACGAGTTTGACAGCGATTAGTGAAGTTCGCTTCACTGTATTTCGCTGTACGATGATGGTGATGATGATGGGGATAGCCCCGTCCGGGTCGGAAACCTTGTGCTTTTTGAGATAATTTACTTCCCGGGTCACCTCCATTCCAGATGGAGGATTGATCTCAACTGGCAGTATTTACCCATTTGATGAATGTATAGGGAGGTCTGGTGCCGACGGGAGCTAGCTGAACTGTGCTTTAAAATGGCCTGCCCAGCGTTCAAGACGGCGTTGTTGAATATTAGTCACTGTCCCGTCAGACTCCTTAATTACCTCACTTATGCCTAATTTCCCCGGGCCTGTACTCCTAATTAGGCGAAATAGGTTGCGACTTCTACCGGTTACCGCATTCTTCTCCGTCTCTCCATACTTTCCTATCCACTACTTCTCGCTGTCATTCTTCAGGCTCTCGATGAACTGGCGTTTAAGGGACTTGCGCACCTTGTCGCATTTTGGCAGCAGAATGAATTGGTTTGCGAGCATCCAGCAAGGTAGCCGAGGTCAAGGAGATTTACAGTTTTTGTTTTGATCGTGCGCCAGAATGCATCGTTATTCTGATTGACATTTGGATCGATTCCTTGATTACAATTCTGTTCAATGAATTCTTCGGCCACCTTTCGGTTGAGCCGAAAGGTGATCAGATAGTTCCTGCTCGAAGGCCGATTCGCAATCCCTGCTGACACTGTATTGTGAGCATCCGTTTTCGAGGGCTTTTCTGTAGTTGTTTGCTAGGTGTAGGGAGAATCTGGCAGAGCATGGTCCGTGTCTACGGGTGTTGACCAGTAGGAGCGGCAGTCATCAATCGATCCTCACCAGGGGTCGCTGACGGTGGTGGTTGATTTGAGTCCAGTGCTGTGAAAAGAGTTGGTGGTTTCCTAGTAAGTCGGTGTCATTTCTTGTGCGAGAAGTTGTTGCTTGATAGGAACAGTCAGTGGTCAGTGCGAAGTTGGAGTAGGCGTTCTCCGTCGTTCTTTCAGGTGGATGGGATTGCATGTGAACTATCAAGAAGCCTTTCTGATTCATCTAGTGCTTTCACTTGAGCACTGAAGTCCCCAGCGACTACCGCGATTTCCGTTGACCGAGTACTTTAGAGCAGTTGAGAGGAGTCCTTGTAGAATTCATCCCTCATTTCTGGAAAACTGCAAT